TTTTTCACAAATACACTTACACAAGAGCCAGATATCGCGTGTGTGTGTGAGAGTGTATTATATGCATTTGGCTTATTGGAGCTGATGAAAGCTAATGCCATGATTAATTTCATTAATGTAATCCATTTATTTTGCATTTGACAGTTGATGGTTTGGTTATTTATTTTTAGAGCCATTTGCTGCAACAATTGCAGGCGAGTTCGCGCCGTATCGTAGAACAAACTGTAGGTCATTTGGAAAATGTGGCAGGATGGCAAATATTGTTGCTGCCGGTTGAACTCTGTTTATTTAATGTTGCGATAAGCAACGGAACATTACTTAACATGCATTTAAAATTATATAATTGTAATGTATGGCAAAGGTAATTGTGAGTTGTGGCAACAAACATGCAAACAACAAACAAATTTCATTTATTGCATACATACATACATACATACATACATACATACGTGAGTATGTACACAAACTTGCTTGAAAAAACGTTAATGCGAACTAAATATTTTACAAGAAATTAATATTATTTTTTAAGTGCATGAAATGCAAGTTTTAATTACTACGAGAATCGTTCCTAACAAACAATTTGTTGCCTCTCTGGCCCACTAACTACCGTTCGTTTTTCAGCCAATCAGTGTTGTTCTTTTCGTTCCCTGTTCCATACTTAACTCTCCATGGAGGGACATGTTGAAAATTTACAAATTGCTGTTAATTATTACAGATCAATTGCGACGCTGACAGACGTAAAGCAGCTGATATGCGCACATTGAAAGACACTTATGAAATCCGATTGACTCAATTAACTAAATCTGCCAAAACTGAAATTTCACGTCTGGTAAGTTGAAACGAATGGGGAACTAGTTGAAGTGCCAAATGCAATAATCGCTTTAGCGCTTCAAAAATATTTAGGTGCGATAAAAGGCTTAACGTGAAAATTTAGGGATATTAGCCGAAGGAAGTCAAGTGGTATCTATAAATGTATTATTAAACGTTTCACTGAGAGGATACTACAATGTAGACCTGCAAAACTATCGACAATCAGACCACCGATAGTATTCGATATTATTTTCAAAACTCTCGATATATCGTCGAAAGTATCGTATAAGGTTTTCGCCAAATTTTTTTATGAATATTTATTTAAATAAAAGCGTTGTAAAATGCATTCGGACTTGAAGTTTGGATACCCTTGTAACCTACTGGACGTGTTGTTTTTTTTTAATTATTTAACCGCTAAGTTAGAAGTAAAGTTATGGAAAATTTGACATGAATTAAAATTTAAAATAAATTGGGCTTTCTGGAATTTAAAATTTCTTAGATATCCTCCGACAAATATGAGGCATTCTCAATGTAGATTGAAATTTTAAAACAACCATTTTTTTTATCCAAAAAGTAATGGTTTTTACTTACCTTTTATTAAATAGTCAATAGTGGTGAGTAGAAAACATTAAAAGTGTTGTTATAAGTTAATTTGTATTTTAAAAGGTGGAAGGTTTTCCGTTCTTTTGCAAATTTTTCGTTACTATTTAGAAAAAGTAGCAACCAAATTTTTAGTGCGACTTGGATGTTTCATATAAATGAAATACAAAGAAGAAATAAAATTAGAAAAATAAAAGCATCGATACTATCGATAGTGCCATCGATAGTTTTACACCTTTCTTACAATGTTGGATAAATCTTTCTGGTAAACTTAGTTTTAGACATTTGTGATGATTTGATGCTGAATCTGGGCGAACTGCACTCCAGGCGTTGACGAATCCTCTATTTACCTCTAAACTTACTTTGTGATTAAAGTCATGGCTTAATTATGAGGTTCAATAAAAGAATCAATTGAAATGGCGTTCACGCGAAAGAGAGCTTATAATGAAAGGGTCACAGCCCATCCACTATAATTTAAATGAAACTGATTTTATTTCCTTAGACTATAGTTGACTCTAATGATTGAGGAAGATTTTATGCGTAAAATAAAGTAATGCAATATTTTTTCTGCATAACTCGAAAAATTTGTTTAGGTTTTGCAACAGTTAAAGAGGATTTAAATTTTATTAAAAAACCGTGATTCTCAATAACATTGCGTATTATGCCTCTCTTAACAGCAGTGGTACCTACTACCGGGGCTACATATGTATATCGATGATGTTGCCTGTTTTGTTACGGTCCCACTTTTTTTTTGTAGAGAATTGGCTGTCCGCAAAACCAACCAAGTGTTGTTATCTTTACTACCAGAAGAAGGTTAGACGGTTTCACTTCCTGTTACTGTTAAAGTTGTTCAGATTTAGATTTTTTGAAATGGTTTGAGGGTGTAATTCTATATTGATCATAAGATCGCTAAAGTCTTATTGCAGGATAATATGACTCCTTGAATGTTTAGTGAAAAAATTGTGATGTAAGGTTTCTTTAAGTCAGGAGCTGGCTTACTTACAAAAAAAAAAATGGCGTCAAGTTTTACTTTACTCGGGGGAATTATGCCTTAAAATTGCGGGTTAAATCCTTCAGAAAATGGGATCACCTGTACAAAAATAGTTAACGTCTCTTAGGTGAAAAGCGAAGTGCTTGGCCAGCGCTCTAATAATTTGCTGAGGAGTCGGCATCGAAAGATTCAGTGAAAATATTTTCGCTGAGCCTCTTTAACTCTTGATCCCAAATCACACAGTATAATCAGATCAGAACTAAAAAACTCATGATGTCTTCAATCTCAGAAGCTCTAGGTAGGTATCGGTCCTCAATGAGCAGACGGGTTTGTAGCAGTCTGAGAGGCTCTTGGCTTGTCTCTTCTTGGGGTTTAAACACTTGACTCTAATTGGCATTGGCATACTTATATAAAAATGGGAATGTTCCCGCTTTGTAGAGAATGAGACTTTTTGTTGGTATATCTACAAATGTGCTTTGAAAAGAATAACTGAACCATGGACCTACATATATTCCAGTAAATTCATAAACTAGTACAAGCAATTGATAATGTCTTAAGCAAGCGGAAAAGCGCAAAAGTTCCTTCAGTTCATGTAAGCTCTGGTTTAAGACTTTAATCAGAAATCCTGTAAAGCATTCGTTCAAGAATTAACTTTTGAATGAATTCCATCAGTTTGAGGCTCAACAGTGCTTCTATGCGTACACACGTACATATGCACTTATATGCACATAAATTTAGTTGCCATTATACGAATCGGTAGCTAGAGTTGCAATAACTGCTTTCTTTTGAACTTTTACGAGTATTAAACACCGAATACTACAACCGAGATGGAGAACTAAGAAAAATCATTTAACATTTTTACGTTATCAACATGAAACACGAGAAAAATTAGTTAACGAAATTTCCCATTAAGAACATTTTCTAATGTGCACGACCGGCACCGACATTCGTTAAGAATAAATACATTTATCTACTATCAATGGAGTGAGTCATGTATGGTCAAGTGAGATCGACGCCAGCACGCACTTTGCTGGAATCAAAAGTCATTTTCATGAAGCAAAGAATGTTGCATGCAGCAAATGCAGTAATGTAATATGTGTTTATGTATGTGTGTATATACATACATACATATTTGTAAGCAACTTTAGCTTCATTTTGGCTTGAATCAAAAAAAATTCTAGTTGCTGCAGGCATTTTTCTGGTCTTTCCTGCGCCTATTCCGCTGAGGACCACAGCAGCCGGAAGTGGGAGTGGAACAAGAAAGATTACTCAGACGAGTGTGTATATAATTTTTAGTATATCCAATAAATTTATTTAAAAAAATATATATATACATTTTTTGCGCCAACTTGCTAGATTTGAATAAGTTTTTTTTTGTTTTTGCCGTTGTTTTTATTTGAAAACTCTGCTTTTATGCTTGCATATAAACAGTTCAAGAAAATCAATTTATTTTGTCATAAATAACTCCAAAATACGTTCAATTATCGTTATCGATGCCTGTCAATAATCTGTCACAACAATTGTCAACAACTTTGCACCGTTGAGCTAACTAAATAAGTACATACATAACTACCAAATCGACAGCATCCAATAAATATGTGCACTCGTCGTCGCACCCATTCACGCTGCAAAATTTGATTTATGGTTACGCAGGCAACAAGTGTTAGCCACAGGCCAAATTGAAATGAGTGCGAAATTGCAGTGCGCAGGCCACCGATTTTCGTTGGCTTTCGCAAGAGCCCGGTAAATTGTTAGCTGCTTGCTTGCTCAGTAGATTGCCTTGTCTACGTTCTTTTTGCGTGAATTTCCAGACTGTTTTTTTTTCGTGCGGGATTGTTTGAACATACGCACTCTCCTGTAGCCTGCGGCTCTGAATTTGTGCATTTTTTATGGTTGAATAAAAAAAAATGCAAGAAGTGGTGAAGTTTTTGGCGGCAAAAATCTTCCCACGAGCTGGTCAAATGATTCATAAGCGGGTTTTATTGCAATGGTGGTCATGAAATTTAAAAATCTGTTAATTAAAAAAAAATCAGAAGAATATTAGCAAGTTGTTATGGGCGATTTAAGATTGAAAGGTTATGAAAAAATTTAATTTTTATTTTAATTTACCGTTGTTTTAGCATTAGAGCTTCCGACGTGAGGCGTGCAGACGTCTCATACAGTCGTCTGAAGTAATTTCTATATGCACCCACAATGCCAAACTTGGGTGGTTACATTCTATGTGGACATAGAAATCGGGCTATAGCAATCTTGGAGGCTTAGGTAGCGTTAAAAAATGCTACCCAAAAAAAATAAAAAAGTTCAAGATGCACTCTTCAGTTAGAGGAGTATGTCATCTTGTGAATTTCAAAGTGGCTGGAAATTTATGAGCTGAAAAGAAAAATTTCTTCCATGGGCTCAACAATGGTTTGCTTTTGGAAATAACCTTAAATGATGGGCTAAAACGGAGCTAAAACTTCAAGTTTATTCAGGTCCACTGAGACAGAAATCCGATTGTGTCTGAAGTACGACGAGATGTGTCAAAACATTTTCATGGCTGATTTTTGAAACCAACTATTAGAAGCACTTAATTAATACAAATTACATTTTCCCTTAATTATGATAAACACACACATGTTAATCAAACAGATTTATATTTACTTATTTTCCATTCTATTTGTACAGCTGGAGGAAATAAAAACCAAAGAACGTAATATTGGGCAACTTAGAAAGGAATTACAAACACTACAGGCACGGCCAAATAGCCAAGCTGAAGTGAAAAGCAGAAATGCAACGACAAATCAACAAACAACGAATAAAACGACGAAACCAAAGAAAAATAATAACAACAATAAGTCCAAAACAAATACAAGAAACAATAGATCGAACGAAATGAATGCTTCCACCTCCGCTTTGACGAAAAAGACGGAGGATAGCAGGGATACAACAGACGGAGAGGCTCAACATCCAAATGAGGTAAGCGAAAGAAAACTACTTTTACTTTTACTTGTGTACTTATTTACTTAGCTATAGTTGAAAATACCATTTCAAAGAAGTATGTATTTTGTAGATATGATTTTGACTTAAGAAACGTGTAAAGCCGCTTGCTCTCAGATGAGCTGGGAGAATTGACTCGAATATGAAGTTACATCATTATTCAAGCAAATTTAACGGTGAGCACATGCCTAAAGTAGGCTTCAGACGGGGCGAGTGCAAGTTCTTTTGAAAAGTCTGTCAAACTCAAGAATTTCCACAAGCACTTACACCTTGCATGTAAAGTGACTTGCCGCTACTACTTTTGGTTTGTTTAAATGGTGAATGCAGAATATTCCACTTTCAACTATGTTAGCAGATAGTTTTGTGCTTAAAAACTGACCTGAATTTTTTGTTTAAATGCTAAAAGCAGCAAAATTTTGAATGCTTTAATGAATACATAAATAGTTCCTATGAGGATAATAAATTAAGTACAAGTATTTTTTGTATAAGTGATACAACATTTTTATAGTTTTTTACAAATTTACAAAAAATCGCGTCACACGGCAACACTCAATTGCAAGTTGAAATTATTTCACGAAAGCGATTTGCATAATTTCTGGAGCAGTTACAGCTTGTAATTTTTATTTCCGAAAGTGATTGCTGCAAATATGCAAAAAAGGCTTTCTGGCTGTTAACACAGGAAAGTAGATTTTCGAGAAAGTGCTAGAGAAAGCGCTTGCATTGCCACGTCTCACAACAATTTTAGAGCTTTTGAATGTACAAAACTTAAACCGGTGAAAGTCAGATTCGGCATTTTATAAGATTAGTAGACCAAAAAAAAAAAAGAAGAAGTTCAGAAGAAAAGAAACTGCTTAAATGCCAATCACGTGCTAATCTAACTAAGAACATAAATCTTTTTGCATTCGATTTCTTTTTCATTTAAAACATCAAAGCAATAATTCATTCAGAATTTTTATGTGTCAAACCGAGAAACTGAAGCAACTCAAATCATAATCGTCTTAATTAACTTAAGTAATCATTAGTTTCATCCGCCATAATCCCATTTTGCTAATATGTCACTTCGTTCAGCGCTTTGCAAACGTAAATCGTAATTATGGACAATGAATGACATTATTAACATTTTTCGCTACGCTTGGTCACGCAAATCTAAAATCTTCGCCAAGCAATGATTTCGTCTTGTGAGGCAGTCAAGTAACTTCTTTAGAGACAGAAAGTGTTTTTTAGTGTTGTTTTATTTTTTTTCTACTGCTGTCCTCTTTTTGTGCGATTTCTTTTCTGAAAGTCTAATGAATCTAATTGGATTCTGCGACGAGGCGCATGGATAGTTTGCATTTCGGTTGATTTATGAACGAATTATGTGTATGTTGAAAGATTATTGTTATTTCGATAGGGTCTTCGTCTTCGTCTTAAAAACACTTTTCTTTTTTTTTAAATATGTATGTAAATCATTATCAGACGGCTTTGGTAATCTCGATTTAATTCGATTTTCTTATTTTAGTCTCGATTCGAGTACATAGGTTTTGTTCAATGATATTTTTATTTTATTTATTTGTAATTTTTTTACTAAGCTCATGAGCCCTTGCCACTTATACTCCTTCCCTCCCTCTTGAAAATAAAATATGAGCCCAAACTCAAAATATTATTAAAAATATTCAGTTTAAGGCAAAGCTCACTATTTATACGAGAACAATTAAGATTAAAATATCTATTTAAAATAGCTATTTAGTATAAAATAAATATGTATGTATGTACGTACATATGTATACACGTGGAGCATGTTGAAATGACTCACGACTCACGACAACCAGCCTGCCGTAGAGATCTCCAATCAGCAATTAGTTGTATTGGTTATTTACATAGGGGTATTTATGAATAAATAAATATTTAGCCCCGTCCATACGTTTGCCAGTTAGGGGATCCGCTCGTTGCCCTATACATATGCACACGAAACTGTGTGTGGTAATCTATCTACATACATATATGGAAAATCTGAAGAAAAAATTTTCCTACGCTTAACATACAATGTACATACGTATCTACAAATAACGAGTAAATCAACCACACTCTATTAGTCTCATTCAATATGCTGGTAACTCGATTGACAATATTGGCTGTTTTAAATACATACTTACATATATGCGACTAAGTATTTCGATGACTTTGATTTCACACTCATTAAACAGATAAGGGCGTTTACCTACATGATTGTGAATCCGTATGTATGTACATACTCACAAATACTAGGACCGGGACCTACAGCGACGCTGATTTAGCTTGGACAATTTGTATGAGAACTTTTATGATTCTGGCTGCGGTTTTAAGATCAGAATACACTTTTATTCATGGCACTACTCATACATACATACATGCATACATACATACACACATATATTGTATGCCGTTTTGAGTTTGTCATCTTTTGTTATTGACAACGGAAATGGCAGACGCGTAAAATTTTGAACCCAAACAAAAGATTTTTTTTTCGAATTTGCTTTCTGTTATTTACCACCTATAAAATATTGAGAATGGGCATTGAACGCAAGTGAGGTGCAACCGTTTGGGGTGAATCGATCGTCAAAACAAAAAAAAACTAAAATCAATGTTCTTCTGCAATAACGACACAACTCATAATTGCGTGCATGTAATTTATATAGCAGATTAGATTGATAAATAACCATATAATTCTGTGGAACATTGACATAAGTTTACTTGTTACTAATTCAACAGGGGGCGCGATTGTGTAATTTGTCAAAAAAGCCAAGTTGGTAACACTTACTACTGAACAGCGGCACATGTGGCAGTTGCGATTGCAAAATTGTCGATTGGTCAGTGTTGTTGTAATATCTAAATAATACAGTTCTGTGCCGTTGTTCAGTAATACCGTTTTTTTTTTTTTAACGGACGTTGGAGTGGGGTTGCTACTCATCAAGTGGCCCGTTCGCAACATCTGGCTAATACCAGTGAACTTATTTTCGTTTAACTACCTAAATAACATAAAATTTTCAGTCTACTAAATGTTTATAAAGCCTTCATAGAGAATAACTGCAAATAATACGCAATAATAACGCTTCAACAAATATTATTGCCAAATTATGAAACACGGCAGATTTTATTGGCTCTACTGAAAATTTTTATAATTTGAGTTCTGTCGTTTTTGCCGAGGACCATCGATATGTAAATATGTACATATGTATATTAGACTGCATCACTCCCCATACCAAAAAAGTGGTACTGGCTTTCTACTGGGATTATTAAATCTGTTAGATATATTTTAAGACTTGCATCAAAAAATATTTCGAAAAATATTAAGATTTACGTGGGCTGGACCGATTTGAAAATACCTCCAAAAATGGAGTTTTTATGAATAAAAACAGCTTCTTAAAGGATTTTTTGAAAAAAATGCCCTCCGATAAAAAGACAGTTTAAGCTTAATAAATTTGCACAAAAATTAAAAAAAAAAATCAACGAAATGGTATCTAATAATGAGATTTTTGATGCTTTTGAACTTAAAGTTTAAGTTTGGTATAAGAAAAACTTGAATAACTGGACCGAAACTATTCCGATTTAGACTTGCGAGACATCATTGGAAAGGTTTTTTCTAACCCTGTATACATATATTATTCTCGCAGGTGGGGTCGTTAACGCTTTAATTCGTGTGGAGTTGGATCACCCTCTAACGAAATTTGTTCGTGGCCTCTAAGGCGGTACAGCTACGAATATATTAGAAGATGGGGGATGAGGTAAGGTGTTTGTAACCAGAAACTCAGCAATGGCCACCCTGCCCATCTGTGCCACCTTCGCAATAGCCGTCAGGCTAAAGGCTCAGATATGCATACTTTGCACTGCACTGCATAGCATGTAATTTTTACTCAGAAATCAAAAAATGAACTGACTTCCACATACATGTGTAATGCTGTGCATTGGATGACCGCTGACATGCAAAGCTCATTTAACAGACTCCTTATGTGACAACTCTCATGGAATGCCAAGTATGCATAACTGAGCCTTAATGCCTACGTAGAAGGTCTTGAACATACAGTGGTAGGAAAGTAGCTTCAAGTTTAATGCGATTTAGTACTAAGTACCATGTGAAATTTGGATCCTTGGTCTAGAAAAATGAGCCTAAATGCCCATCCAGCAAAGACAGCTTTCATTCTTCGTTAATAATGTTACGAGTTCGCTGACTCTAGCAGAGACATTCATTCAGATAGCTGCGTGTTATTCCAAAAAAGCTACCGGGCAGCACAAATCTGATGTAGAGAAGCTGAATGTACTTGATTACCGGATGTACTGGATGTACTGGAGTATTGGATGTACACAGCGCACCTAATTTGGTTCTATACCCTCACAGTCTGGTGGCCGTCCGTGGATAAATCTATAATACGAAATAAGCAATTCAAGGTTTAGTGGAAGGGGTGTCTGATTACAAAAGGGGCTTTACCTTCAACACCGACACATTTAAGCCCCACAGACCCTGGTATAGGCCTGAGACCTGTGAATAGATCTGTGACCATACACACTTATGGCTCTAAATTACACCTCAAATTGGGAAGTGGGGTAAACTCGAAAGAGAAAAACTAAAAGCAACGGCCGAAGCTACAAGGTGGCTGATGGATTCTTCTTTTAACCTGAATTAAGAATTATCTTATGGCGTTTTCATTTCTGCAAAAAAAGTTGCCTTTTCATTGCCCAGTTCTTAGTGTCTGTGGAAATGAGAAGGTAACATTTTTCGGTCAGTAAAGTCCCAAAAAAATTCAAAACATTTAAGCTTATCAAAATATCCATTTTAACACAAGAAATGTGCGGCGTTGAACAATTATTAATAAAGGAAAAAAAGTAATCGTACAATTAGATAAAAAAAAGATATATCGTATCGAGGGAACACTGACCTAACAAAAGGTGACAAAGCAGATAATTGAAGGCATAACAAAACAATGGTAGTAGAATAATGAGAAGGAAGTATAGGGTAAATTAATAAC